GGCCTTGATCGTCCGATTTATGTTTCTTAGCACGCTCTACATTTCTGTCGAGCGTATATTCATTACGGCGGACCCAATGCACACGAATCTCTACTACCCCAGGTTCGTTTAGTCTGGATTGCAGAAATGTCTGTAATATTATCATCTCCACGTAAAATATATTTATGACGTCACATCCGTGACGAGGTACAGCTACGTTCGATTTGATTTCATTTTCGGATTCGATGACATCAACTACCTAATAATTGATACCAAACATGACTGTCGCGAATTCAGATAAGTTTTCCAAGCAGTACCGTATTTTTAAAATATATTTCGAGCACCAATTTTGAATTGCTCACCACAAAGTTTCCCCAGGGGAGATTTTGCTAGAGTTTTTTTCTGGGACACTATAGACATGGTCCTTCCAGAAAATGAAAAAATATTTTTTTTCCACAGCTCTAGCGATTATGAACTTTTCCGATCAGCCTAACTAGCCGAAAGAACATCAGACTGAAAGGTAAACATTTTCGCCACATAACAGCAACAGTCATCCGGACGCCTTTCCGCGCGGAGATCTCCCAAATGTGACGTATTTTGTGGGGATTCCCTGTCTTTTTATGCACCAAAGCATCCATCTGATTTGAAGTCCGTGCGACAAAAGAAAGATAACGCATATAAAGAGTTTAGGTATGACTTCTACATAGAATAAAGAGTTTGGGTAAGAATTCTATCTCAGAATAAAGAGTTTGGGTAAGAATTCTATCTCAGAATAAAGAGTTTGGGTAAGAATTCTATCTCAGAATAAAGAGTTTGGGTAAGAATTCTATCTCAGAATAAAGAGTTTGGGTAAGAATTCTATCTCAGAATAAAGAGTTTAGGTAAGAATTCTATCTCAGAATAAAGAGCTTGGGTAAGACTTCTACCTCAGAATAAAGAGTTTAGGTAAGACATCTACCTCAGAATAAAGAGTTTGGGTAAGACTTCTACCTAGAATAAAGAGTTTGGGTAAGACTTCTATCTCAGAATAAAGAGTTTGGGTAAGAATTCTATCTCAGAATAAAGAGTTTGGGTAAGAATTCTATCTCAGAATAAAGAGTTTAGGTAAGAATTCTATCTCAGAATAAAGAGCTTGGGTAAGACTTCTACCTCAGAATAAAGAGTTTAGGTAAGACATCTACCTCAGAATAAAGAGTTTGGGTAAGACTTCTACCTAGAATAAAGAGTTTGGGTAAGACTTCTACCTACAATAAAGAGTTTGGGTAAGACTTCTATCTCAGAATAAAGAGTTTGGGTAAGACTTCTACCTAGAATAAAGAGTTTGGGTAAGACTTCTATCTCAGAATAAAGAGTTTGGGTAAGAATTCTATCTCAGAATAAAGAGTTTGGGTAAGACTTCTACCTAGAATAAAGAGTTTGGGTAAGACTTCTACCTAGAATAAAGAGTTTGGGTAAGACTTCTATCTCAGAATAAAGAGTTTGGGTAAGAATTCTATCTCAGAATAAAGAGTTTGGGTAAGACTTCTACCTAGAATAAAGAGTTTGGGTAAGACTTCTATCTCAGAATAAAGAGTTTAGGTAAGAATTCTATCTCAGAATAAAGAGCTTGGGTAAGACTTCTACCTCAGAATAAAGAGTTTAGGTAAGACATCTACCTCAGAATAAAGAGTTTGGGTAAGACTTCTACCTAGAATAAAGAGTTTGGGTAAGACTTCTACCTACAATAAAGAGTTTGGGTAAGACTTCTATCTCAGAATAAAGAGTTTGGGTAAGACTTCTACCTAGAATAAAGAGTTTGGGTAAGACTTCTATCTCAGAATAAAGAGTTTGGGTAAGAATTCTATCTCAGAATAAAGAGTTTGGGTAAGACTTCTACCTAGAATAAAGAGTTTGGGTAAGACTTCTATCTCAGAATAAAGAGTTTGGGTAAGACTTCTACCTAGAATAAAGAGTTTGGGTAA